CGCATTTTGATGGTACACTTGCCGGCTTATCACACTCTCCTGTAAGATGGCTTTTGACACATTTAACACACACTGGTTGCTTATTACAAAAATGTTTAGTATGCCTATATCTTTGGCATCATTTGCAATTTTGGGCTTCTCACTGGCTCAATTTGGACTATTAGGTTTTGTAATGTCTTAATTTCATAAATTCTTTTAATGCCGTCACCGTTTCCAGATGTTAACATATATAGCGGCAATGGCTTTTTTATAGCAGTTCTTATACCTTGATTTCCTCTTTCTTGTTTAGTTTCTCTTCTTTGGATATTAACCTATATCTTCTGGCTTGCAGGTAGGCTGTAGGTTTCTAGCCATCACTTTTATTGGTCTGGTTTGTTTCATCTCATATCAATGCCACTGATAGCCTTAGTTTGGGAGATCTGTTATCACTGTTCTATCTTTTTGTTCATCTTTTACGTTTAATTTGATTTCATCGTTATTTAATATGATAGATACAAAATGTTGTTTCCATATTAGTTTGGTTCTCCTGTAACATGACCTGATTTTTTTGTGCTTCAGAAGATTCGGTTTTGTTGATTTTTTCTACACATTTTAATATTATTTTTTAATAGTACCCTTTAACTTTTGCATTTAAACATTAACTTTAGCTGTCATTGTTTTTTTTTTGAATGATCACAATTTAGCACATATATAAACATACGCGATTGATCTTGACCTAGATTCCGAGCAGTCTTTTGAAATATTCAACTGCGCTCTCCGATAGTCGAACGAATACTGAGACACACTGTATATCAGGTTATGTAGAAAGCTTAACATTGATTTTTGTGTAAAAAATATTATTATATGAAACTTTACCTACCGTTTTGCAGTCCCATCACAATACAAAACATTACACAGATACAAACTAGAATGAATCAATAGGCTTCGTCCCCTTATAGAGCTTTTGATTTTTTCCAAAAATTTCAAGTTGCTATTATTGTTCGTTTTTGAATTAGAATTGTTTAAATATTTCAACCTCCCTTAACTCCTTCATTTTTATTTAAATTTTTTTCACAACCAATAGGACTTATCTCCTTATAGAGCTTTATTTTTACTAAGAATGTTATGTTGATTTCGCTTTTCACTTTTTTTTTATTTCAACCCCCCTTAAAACCAGATTTTTTTTTCAAAATCAAAGTTCTACTCCTTATAGAGCTTGATGTTTGCTAAAAATTGCAAGTTGATATAAGCACAATAGTGCACAGTTTATCTTTTCAGTTCACCGTGAATAAAATCCGTTAAGTATACGTATTTTCAAAACAACATCGTTTTATTTTATATATTCATGTTGATTAGACCTTTAGATACATAAATCTGATTCATGAGTCATCATATGAGATCAGCCCCTTTTAACTATATTTGGCTTATTTCGTTTGCCAGAGACGGACTAGCTTTAACAAAATATGCCTATTTTTTATACTTTTTATGATGGAGGCACAACAAAAATATGTTTGGATAGCTTAAACTCTTTATAAAGTGAACTGTTTTTAAAAACAAAATTAGGTACTTTATAAATTATAAAAAAAGTATTCATAGGATCTTTCAATATGGGCCGCTGTGGTCTATCTGAATCCAGAAAATCGTCCACATATTCTAATACACTCTGTATATCGTGAGGCGCGATAGCAAATGTCAGAAGACAGAAAGGGAGACAACACTCCATTGATTTGTGTGGGGATATTGTCATCACTAAAAACAAATTAAAAAGGTCCTTTTTACAAATAAATTTAAATGAATAACCTATGAAAATAAAATTATTATATAATTTAAATAATATTTTAATTCGGTTGTTTATGTTCCGTAATTAAGTATCAAACTGTTTAATTAAATAAAAAATTAAAAGTTAAATTAAAAACGTTTTCCTTTTATCCAATTTAGCTCTACGCCTTAGTCGCGCGATCACATCAGATCCCATAAATCACCAGCGTCAAGTAAAAAATATATCTGAATACTTAGCCCTTTCATTAAAACAACATTATTAGATATAGGGCAATACGACGGTTGCCACCCCAATTTCACCATGTGGAATTTCGTGAGGCCTGTCTAACGCCAGGATCTAGAACTAATCAAAAAGGAGTTATTTTTAATGTGCACGCCATATCGAATTACTTTTCGTCTGTTTTCGCTCCACGCTAACTTGGACTCACGTACATTTTTCATTCGTTAATTGTAGTGTCATTAAATATGGATAAAGTTCGAATTATTGTAACTCTAATAACGTAGAACAAAATCTGATTTATACCGGTAATAAAACAAAATTGATTAATTTATGGCTCAAATACAATAAAATTGTAAAAATAAAACGTAAATGAATGTTCAACAATATTTTAATTAAACCTATAAATAGTTGATTAATAGCACTTTTAAATAAAATGTAAATAATTTCAAAACCTCCAATCCATTGAATTATGGCTATTTTTCTGATGTGGTTTAGTCGCAGAGTTCTTATTAGTGTAACATTTATTTATTTAAACAGTTTATTTTAATTTATTTACACTAAATACCCTAACTTATACTGAATGCTATACTAATTTATGTATTACATTTACTTATTCACTAATTTATATACCTAAATAATACTAATCTGTTCACAGACAAGTCCCAACTTGAACTAAAACCTCCAAGAGCAAAATAGCCTATGTATACTGTCCAATTGCAAATTATGGCGGATTTATTAAAATTCTTGTAGATCAATCCTTTTAATGTCTTCGTCAAAAATTGTAATTTCGTTATTAATAACACTCTAGATCGGATGATTCACTTCGTCTATCGCATAAGCCTAACATGAGGGGTCCGAGGTTTATTATTCTATCGAACATTCTTGATTCTCGGAAACGATGAGGCCGTAAGAGGCCCAAATATGGTAGAAAAGGACTTTGGCTATTAGAGCATGATCGGACTAGTTAAAGATGTCTTGCACGACATTAATAGTTTTGAGGGTCTTACTTAAGTGTGTCTTTTTGTCACATTCCCTTCTCGTCCTGCCTATTGCTTTTCAGTCTGGTTATCACACTGCACATACATTATCTTCTTCTATTTCGCCTCGTCAACGTTTTTTCTGATTATCGGTCACAAAGAAATTATATGTGTACTCCATATCATATATCAATTGGTTTCATTTCATTTCATACTTATTTAATTTGTTTTTCTAAATAATATTTCCACTTCTTTCCTTATTTCAGTAATTTGTACCATGTTCATCTTTATAGTATCTTAGGAGGCTTGTTTCCAAAAATGTTTAATTCATAGTTCTCACAAACGGGGGCGCATTGTTCTAACGGACTAGAGAGCCGGTTTATGGAGAAATGTGTTTCTGTGAAATACCTGAATTTTTTGATATGTTGTAGATGTCGACTTCCAAAACAATAGTGTCCATAGGCACAAGTTTTGGAATTTGCAAAGTGGGCATTTTTTAAAAAAAGCGTGCCTCTTACAGACATTTTTTGAGAATAATACTTTATTGATATAAAAAAAATATTTCCAGTATAACACGTGACGTAAACTATTATTAGTTACAAGGTTAATCATAAATTATTGAAAATCAGATTTTATGAGTCAAAAAGTTGGCAACCCTGTTTGCGGTTTTAATAAAATTTTACCTATTCTATATGGCGCGTAAATAATAATAATATGTAGAGTTTATAAACCATATACAGTATGATTCAAAAGAAATGTAATGAAAAAATCCAGGAAAAATGCTTTTTCTTGTCTCGCTCTATATTTTAAAATTTCGTTGATTAAATTGCGTAATTTTTTTTACATGTATTTTATTTTGCGTTTGCTAATAAAGTGTAAGAGTTATAGTCCCTCATCTGACTGCAAAAAGTGGTATGTCGCGTTTCTTTCTTGCTATTTGTAGTTAGGTACAGGGTTTTCATTAGATTTTGTACGCTACGTATTTTCATTATTATTACGAACACCAAAAAAAGTAAAAGCTTTATTGTTTTACCTGTATCAACAAAATATAATTTAATTTTTGTCATTTTAAGTAGATTTGCATTTCCTGATTACAAATATATACTATTTTAATTATTTAGTAACTTATTGCACTATGAAAGCGTATTACATAGAGGGCTATGAAAATAATGTTTCCAAGTGAAACAGTTGTTTGTTTATTAAAAGTTGTCAGTTGATTGCTTGTAATGGGTTATACTATGGCCGATAAAGTTGAGGTAAAACAACAAAGCTTTTACTTGAAACTTTTTTGTGTTCACAAGAATAATGAAAATAAGTAGTGGTCAAAATATCATGAAAAACCCTGTACAGAGGGGTTAACAACATGTACTATATCCCAGTGGTGGGAGCAGTCGTTTAACCTGCCAAATTCAAAATAATGTTTCACATCGATGAAGTTTTGTTGTTTTTTGCTGGCATTGCTTCTAGAATTCTATAATAATTAAAAAATTCCTTTGTAAGCATTTTCTGCCATCCTGTTTTGGTATTATCGATGTAGGGAACTTTCTTAACTTACACTGAAAGTAGTAAAACCGCATGACAAAAAATGCTTCAAAAGGGATTTTTTTATTGTTATAGTTTTTAAATAAACAAACGTATCAGTAAAACTTTCTATGATTTGTTTGGCGGAAAAAAACTTGAAAAAGTTGAATATTTCTATCGTATTATTACAATTTTGATGGCAAGAACTTAATTTCAAGATGTAAAACATTATATTTGTTACAAAATTTTCCTCTGAATATTTATCTCAAATCGAAGTTATTTAAAAACTTTATCCTAATTGCTTTTGTAACTATATCGATTAAATTGACGTTTAATTTTACATGTTTTATTACAATTGCATTTGTTTTAAAATATTTTTTCTATACATTGTATAAAATTATTGTAATTATAAATAGTTGTTTTAATGGTGCTCAATGTCTAATGAAACCAACCATATGAATAAAACCATTACACATTACACAGCAGAGCTATAAAAATGTGCAATATTCTCTTTATTATTTCAGATCACCCTCTACACATAAGATGTCGCCATCATTTAGGAAAATATTTCTTCAATTTATGCCAAAATTGTTAATTATGAGAAGAACTACCTATGCACTACCAGAATATGATGATTCCACTCCGCCTAGAGGATATATGAACGACTTAGACATGCAGTAAGTAATTAAAAAATATGTCTATACCCAACAACATTTAACACTATTAGGTTCTTGAGAAAATACAATATATTTTATTATCTGCGTCAATTTGAAATTCACTAAAAATATTATAGAAATTTTGATTGTTATAAAGTGAAAAAATTGAACCGTGAAGCTTTATTAAAATTTAAAAAATGCGAACGTCAACATTGATTAATAATTTTCTCAATTTTCTAACCACTTATAAAAAAATACCATTATGTTTTTCTCGAGAAAAGTTTATTGTCTGTTCCAATTAATTATTTTCAAACATCGTTTTCATCATTAAAAAGTTTCTTTTTTGTTTCTTGAGTTAATCGGAATATTAAACTTTTTCACTCATTTTTATTTCTGTACAGGTACGTATTAAACGTTTTTTGGTTCGGCTAGATGTAGGTTTCTTCAATATTCGAAAGTGGACCAAACCATAAATAATATTTCTTTTCCCTCCATTATCCTTCTAATTCATTCAACTTTGCATATTTGCATTTAGATATTGGTATCTAGTCTGGAAAATTTCCAGTAAACAAAATGTTTCTTACTATGGTTACTTATGGTTACTATAGTTACTATGGTTACTATGCCTTACTGTAGTTACTTTGGTTACGATGGTTACTATGAATACGATGGTTACTATTGATACTATGGTTACCATGGATACTATAGTTACTAAGAATACTATGGTTACATGGGTTCTATAGTTACTGCGGTAACTCGGCTTACTATGGTTGCTATGATCGCTATGGTTGCTATGGTTGCTATGGTTGCTATGGTTGCTATGGTTGCTATGGTTACTATGGTTATTATGGTTACTATGGGTTCTATGGTTACTGTGGTAACTAGGGTTACTATGGTTGCTATGGTTTCTATTGTTGCTATGGTAGTAATTTGTTCCTTTAACACCCATTTAACATGTTGGTATAAAATACTACATAAGGGTTCTAGTCCAATAAGAGTTTTTTCCGCTCCCTTCCTTGCTAGGAGGTCTGTTTTCTCGGTTCCAAACACTCCCTTATGTCCCAGCACCCATTCAAGGGTGACCTTGTTATGTTCTGCCAGGGCCTGAAGGGACTAATGGTTCTCCCTGAGTTCACATGGTAGATCCCAGCTCCTGTGCTGTTTTTCATTTTCGAACCGTCTGTATACCAGATTGATTCATTTTGTTTTTCCCTATTTTCCCGGCTTTTGAACCATTCTGGACTTTGAATATCGAAAGGTTTCCTAAAATCGTGAACAGTGGACGTTCTATCCGATGGCATTCTTAGTACTGGATTTTCCTGATACTATTTTATGCTTATTATTTAAATCTCCTAAAAGAATCACACTAGGGAAAAATCTCTAGACTTCAGATCAACAATTAAATCTGCAAAAAATAGGCCATTTATTAAAAAAACAGCAAACAAAAAAAAAGCCATTTATTTTCCACATAGATTCATCACTATGGCCCAGAAACTAAAAAGCGGTCCATTCTAGTTCCCAACCATAAAAAAAAAAAAAAAAAAAAAAAAAAAAAAAAACAAATGGGAAGACAAATTTTTGTTTTCAGTTTTCTGTGACAAAGATGGGAAAATTTTGATAGATTATTTGGAAGAGGATAAAACTGTCGCAAGTCTATCGAATATTTAACAACTTCTGGTATTCCAAAGGGTAGCAATCTAGGCCCTTTACTCTTTAACATTTTAATTAATGATATTCTAGAAAAAATCGATATTGAGTGGTGATGATTTAAAAATATATGGTGAAATAAAATGTAAGTGATTTTGACCGACTATTTACGAATGTCTGTTATATTGAGGAATAGTGCTCTATAAACAAACTTACACTAAATTCATCCAAGTCTAATGTGATGTCCTTCTCTTTAAAAAATTATCTCATATTTTTTGATTATAAGCTCAATTATACCACTCAAGGCCTCAAACTTTTACTGACTTGGAAGTGACCTTTGATGAAAATCTCTCATTCGTGCCTCATGTCAACAACATTGTAGCAAAAACTGACCATATATATATATATATATATATATATATATATAAATTTTTAGCGAGAAATAGTAGGGCTTTCAATAAGATACAAACCTTACAAATCATAAATTATGCGTCAGATCGAATCTTTAGTTGGATTCGGTAGTATGTAGTTAACTCTACTAAGTACATTCTGATAACTTACTTAAAATTGAGTCAACGAAGGTTTCTGAAATTACTTTTTCTAAAATGCAATGAAACGTTTCCTCCCATGGGTATACCTTATGAAGATCTGCTTCAAAAATACAGCTTTCGTCACCTATCCATACGCAGGCAGTGTCAATCAGTATTTTTTTACGAGTTAGTTAATGACTTGGATAATATTCAATTTGTTCCAAAAATCTCATTTAATGTTTCTAGGATAACATCTTGAAGCAACACCGCTGTGTCGCATGTGTTCATAATATAATTTAATAAGTAACAACCTGATTTAACACCCCATTCTCAACATAACATAACAACCTGATTTTTTTATTCAACTGGGCTGTCAGTGTATTCTCAATAAAAAATGCATTTCTAAATTATTATTCCTATACATACTGTTACACTACACCCTGCAGTGGCCTGCGGCCGTTATAGGAAACGTACAAATACGAAAAGAAGTGCAATGTCACCCATCACACTATAGTGTGCTGCGAACATCATAAGTAAAAGTACTAGTAAAAGAAGAGAATAGTCCAGAAATGTCTGGAAACGTCATTATTTGTCAAGAAAATTCTAGGAATTTCGAGAAGGTTCGAGAAGGTTCAAGCAAGCTATGTAAGCCGATGATCCTGACGTCAGTTTTCAGTTTGATGATAGACGTTACATGTTAATGTTATCAGTTATACAAGATGTTTCAGATTTAAACGGACAGCTTAATGGAAGATAGAGTACACTTAGCTGAGTTCAAAACACCCCTATACTTAGCTTTTAATCTTATTCGTTTCTGAGATATAGGGTGTTTCATGATTTTTTACCAAAACTAAAATCGCCCCATTCTGTTTGAACGGCTAGAGCTATTTTGATAAAATTTTGTACAAAAGTTACACTCTCTTAGATCAATCAAAACAATAATTTAATTTAAAAAAAAATCCAGAGCCGGACTCTCTTTTTTTTATATTGCTCTTCTTGGCTAGAATATCACCCTGTATATCGGATTTTAATAAATACTGCACATTTAAATAGTACGCGGATCAATAAATAAAATAATGTAATAATATTTAATGGGATCATCTTGATTTTCTTACAGTCAATTTTTATAATGGTGACTACAATATTATATATCAGTTTTTACAAAATTGAAATCAAATATATTACTCTGTATTTTTAAAACTCTACACAAATCAGGTACCATCTTCATTTATTTTTAACTACTGCATTTTCCAATAAGAAATTGAACATCTACACAGGACCGGGCTCATTTTATTTCATAAAGTAACAGAACAAACTAACAGAAACAAATAATTAATTTAAACTAAAGTAAATTTTCAAAATGAACACCGTAAACGTCAATACACCTCTGCCAAAGGTTTAAAAGGTTTTTTACTGATTTGTCATTTATTTCCGGTTTATTTCTAATGTTGCATACATTATTAATTTTTCCAATAACTGTGCTCGGGAATTCATTTATTCGTTGTACACCTCTGATTTAAGGTAGCCTCATAAAATATAATCCAGAGGTGTTAGATCTGGAGAGCTTGGTGGCCAATTGGCAGGACCGCCTCGACCTATCCAGCGACTTGAACACACATTAAATGTTTGGTGTGGAATTTTTAAAAACTCACTTAATACCCAAGCACAGTTAAATCATTGTTTCCCAAATAGATGGATAGGTCGAGGCAGTCCCGTCAATTGGCCACCAAGATCTCCAGATCTAACACCTCTGGATTATGTTTTATGGGGCCACCCTGAATCAGAGGTGTACAACGAAGAAATGAATACCCGAGCACAGTTATTGGAAAAAATTAACAATGTATGTAACAACATTAGAAATAAACCGAAAATAATTGACAAATCAGTGAAAAACCTGTTAAAACGTTCGCAGAGGTGTATTGACGTTCATGGTGTTCATTTTGAAAATCTACTTTAGCTTTAATTAATTATTTGTTTCTGTTACTTTGTTCTATTACTTTATTAAATAAAGTTTTAAAAGTACAGAGTAAAATATTTGATTTTAATTTTGTAAATACTGATTTATAATAATGTAGTCGCCATTATAAAAATTTATTGTAAGAACATTAAGATGGTGCCATTAAATATTATTACATTATTTTATTTGTTGATCCACGTACTATTTAAATGTGCAGTAACATTTATTAAAATCCGATATACAGGGTGATATTCTAGCTAAGAAGAGCAATATAAAAAAAGAGAGTCCGGTCCTGGAATTTTTTAAAATTAAATTATGGTTTTGATTGACCTAAGAGAGTGTAACTTTTGTACAAAATTTTATTAAAATAACTCTAGTCGTTCAAACAAAATGTCCGATTTTAGTTTTGGCAAAAAATCATGAAACACCCTATATCTCAGAAACGAGTAAGATTAAAGGCTAAGTATAGGGGTGTTTTGAACTCACCTAAGTGTACTCTACCTCCCACTAAGCTGTGTCCGTTTAAATCTGAAACACCCTGTATAATTGTTGTTAAAGTTGAATTGAAATAAATTGTGATACCAAAAACCTGTGTAAAAATACTTTGTAATAGATAATTTTATATCATATACTCGTAGGTAATAACTGTAATCTGAAATGCCTTACTATCTGATTGGTTAAAACTGTTGGGTGTTGTAAATGAATAGATACATAAAATACATAAAACTATTAAGGGAGCATATTAATACTGAGCTGCTAATTGGATTATGAGAGGATATTGTAGAAATGCTCCAAGGAAAATTTTCCAACGATGTTATCCTTTTACAATAAGTCTTTAATTGAAATGCAAAACAGTTAAAAGATTAGTTTAATCGTCATATTTAAATCCAGAGTATTTTTATTTCCTCAAAATACTTGAGAACTACTGTTTTTTCGATAGACAAAGCGAAATTTTATTAAAATGAGCCGGTTCTGTAGATATTTTTATTAGTCTGCTTCTTGCCCTTCCCTGGTGTTACATACTGATATTAATTCATTTTTAATTTCAAAATTCCATTTCGTTCTAGATTAAATATGGCAGAGCCCTTTACGACGGACTTTAAAATAACGACCAGGGATCCAAGTTTTGTGCTTCAAAACGCTGATCACGACGATGGGAAAATGAAAGCCCATTCCTCTAGTGAGTATGACCATGTAAATTTTTAATATATTAATACCTACGTCTTTATCCTATAAGAGTTTTTTATAATAAGTTATGTAAAAATTAAGTATTAATTGATGACAAACTACATAGTACCTGGCGCTGTTGTTCTCATTTAAAATTTAATCCTTTGGTGTACTAGACTGTCACATTTAAATTTTCAATTCGAAATTTAATTAACGACACAAATTATTTGAATTTTTCAGAAATGTATTTCATGACATACTTGATTCTTCATTCACTGCAGGTTTCTTGAGGTATCTATTTCTTACCTAATTCGCAACATTGATACAATATCGTTACTTCTCCTGCATGCGAATGCCATTTATTATTCTCTTCAATGCAAGTAAAGCAGGGCAGAAGGTTTGATCCTGCCATCACTAGAATATACTTGTTAATGCGCAAATAATGCTGAATAAACAAATAGCAATAATAAGTTTAAATGTCTTTAAATAAGCAGAACAACGGAGAACGAAAAAAGTTAACTAAATATCTCTTTTTTATTTGTGAAACTTTTTCTCTTATTCAAATTATAAAACGGTCCAATATTGTTATTTTTCCAAAAACAATTTTTTTTTAGTGACAGAGTCTTCAAATATGACGCCCAAAATATTGTCTGCAAATGTTCTAGCTGCTTTGCATGGTGTTCGGTTCATTGCTCAACATATTAGAGATGCAGACAAGGATAATGAGGTATGTTGGATTTCTAAAAGTTCTCTAAGTTCGGTTCAAAACTTTGTACAAGTGCCAATATCGCTGTTTTTTTTTTATTTGGGTTTGTATTAAGTGTAGTTATTATTATCAATATCATACTGTTTTCAAGCACTAAAACTATTAATGAATGAATATTTTAGTTATTGTAACTTTTTTTTTCTTTAATACGTTAAAAACCATCTATAAATATTATTAGTTATAGTGAGCTGACTTTTCTTTATATGTTGAGATTATTTTTAAATATATTATAATGAAACACGGAATCCCAAGAATATCAAGTTAATGATAAAAAGTCTTCAAAGAAATAAATTTAAAAAAGTTTCATCTAAGTATTTAGACTACACCCTGTATAGTGATAAATTTGACAAGATCAAAAGTAACTAAATGTAGTGAGACAATGTTACCACACGAAAATTATAATTTTTAAAATGTAAATTTGTAAAAAAATTACAACACGGATTTCAAAATAACCTATTAATTAATGAACGATAAATTATCATCGAAATTATGAAATAAGCAGTTTAAATAAACTCACCTTTAAAAATCCAATAATCTAATTTTAAAGATGTAACTAAACTGTCAGAATTTTGATTGGCTAATTATTTTTCATCCAACTTGATTCAAAAATCCAAATCAGAGTTTTTGTTGATGAAACAAAAGAGTGCTAGAAAGGTAACGAAAAAGGAAGGACACAAAAATTTTTTCCTTCGAATTTCCTCTCCAAACTCCTTTTTCCTAAAAATAAAGAGACAGAAATATTAAATCTTCAATGTTTATGTATAAACGATTAACTAGTGTATAAATGTCAAAGGTAATATTAAATTTAACTTACCCACGCAATATTATGTAAAACTGCCCGAAGAAGAGTTCCAGGAAGTATGCATTGGCATACAAGACGCAAGGCCTCCATTTCCCCCAGGTACTTGTAACATCCTTCTGTTATGGACGCTGAAAAGAAATAAGTTTAACACTAGGACATCTTATATTTCACAGTGCTATACAGGTATTTCAATTAAAAACTATCATTAGTGATCAATTAAAAGAAAGTACTTACCAAATTGAGTATTTGAGTAATCGTAAAGACGATGAATCTTTCTATTTTAGTATAAAATAACATCAGAATGTTTTTTTTGGACCATCTGATTTGATTAGGTTAGAATTCAATATAAGCCATCTTTTGTCCGACTAGAGAAATTACCATATAGCCGGCCAAAAGAGATCTACTTACGTATTTAAAAGCGCCGTACGGTGGGTAGAATATTAAGTTCGATAGGTAACTGTATTTTTATAGTATAATGCGCCATTTTCGATCCAAGAATCGATCGTTAAATGACGAATTATTTTATTATTTTTGTTTCTATGTTAATTTTTACATTTATGTAACAATATTCTGTTTCTTTTTTCCCACATTAGTTACAAAGAATTTTTGAACTCGCACTAAACCCTGATATCAATTATTTTAAATAAAACTACAAGTTATACAAAGAGTCTCAAACTTTTACTTATTTTTATTTCTATACAAGAGCTGACAATATACGAGGTTCAGAGGTAAGTGTCTTAAATACATGGATGAAAATTTTTAAACCCATTAGTTAAAAGAATTGAGTCATATCGTTTCATTTATTGCATTAGATAACATTTTAGCCGGAGCATTAAGTATTTGTATGGAGGATGATTTGTGATATAAATTATTTAAAGCTCATTACAATTATATAACGTCACAACGTAGTGCTATATATTTCACACAAAAACATCCCCATAACAATATATCAGATTATGTAGAAAGCTTGACATTGGTTTTTGTGTAAAAAATATAATTATATGAAACTTTACCTACCGTTTTTCAGTTTTTATTGTAAATATAATCATTTTCACAATTTGTCACACATGTCAAATAAAATAATATATTTTTTAAATACCGGAAAAATCCGCCGACGGTCGAACGGGCTATTTTTTTTTTTAACGATTTTAGACCTGCTGAAACACATTTCAAAATACTTTTTTTGGCCCGCAAACGCTATAAAATATTTTTTTCTTACCTTAAAACTATTAAAATGTGTCCTCCAATTTAGATGTTGAAAAAATTTGAATTACATCATTTTGATTAATTTCTTGTTATAAAAACTGCTAAATAATAACACTAGACCATCCATAATGCAATAAACCATCCAAATTTTTTCGTAAACTTTCGTAAACAGTATTATTTTCTTAATTTACGACCAAGTTAAAGTTCGTCAAAATAATCCAATTTTCATAACCGCAATAACAATTAACATTGGCAGTGTGACATGTGTCTAAAAGAAAAACAATGTGGCCATATCAATTATGTATTACATAGCAATGGTAATTTTTACCTATGCCCTGCGTTGTACCAGGCCAACCAATTGACTTCAGTATTAGAAAAATTATATAAAACTAACAATTTAAAAAATACCCATATCAAGATCTTCTTCCTCACCCTCATCGGCAGAATACTCTTCGACGTCAATATTGATATTTTCTAAATTGCAAGAATTATACAATTTTCCCGCCAGTTTTAAAAACTCTTCAACTAACCGAACCTAACCAACCCTCATTAGCGTCTGGCCAGTAAACCTCGATCCCAACTTTTAACGAACGTGTCTTGTATCGTGGGCATCTAATAATAAGAAAATATACAATAAGAAAATGAAGGAACGACTTCTTGTAAGGTGGCGGCTTCGCCGCCACCAGAAAATTATTAAACCATACTTGGCTACGCCGACCGGCATAAACTCCAACGGCCTGGACACAGCTCAAATTGAAAAACCTAACCTAACGTAACCTAACCAACCCTCATTAGCGTCTGACCAGTGAACCTCGATCCCAACTTTTAATGAACGTGTCTTGTTTCGTAGGCATCTAATAATAGGAAAATATACAATAAATATGAAATAAAAAGACGGTTGTCTGTGATTACTACAAATGTTTTCACTTCGAGATCCAAATTTACCTGCTGGCCAGACACTATGTAATTTTTCAGCCAACTTTCACTAACCGAATTATTTCCTGACTTATATGTTTTCTTACTCGATTTGGCAACATCGCATTTATAAAAACTAGACACATCAATTGTCATTAAAAATAATTTAATGTTTATTTATTTTTCTAACAAACTTAAAATGAAAAATAAGAAAATTTGATCGTTTATTGATATTTAGCCGTTTCTACAACAAGAAATCAGTGAAAATGGTTTATTTCACATTTGTTTTATGATGGAGACCCAACAACAAATTTTAAGGATTTTCAGGATTGTAAGGTAAAAATTTTTTTTAAATAAGTGTTAGCGGACCCAAAATTGTTATGCATAGTGTGTTTCTAAGTGTCTAGAAACTCTTTATAACATTTCAATAGTTATATCCGCCGTTCGAGTGTCGACGTATAATACCTAAATACCTTTTATTGGCAAATAAAACAAGTGAACTAAAATGTTTATTTTATAAGATCAGTCTCATCACAATACATAACATTACACAGATACGAACTATGACTGAATGAATAAATGAATGAATGAAGATATATACTGCGGGGAATTTATACTCTTCACAGTTTAATCAGGGCCGACTAGAGGGGGGGAGGGGACAGCCGGGACTAATTCCCGGGGCCCGGGTTCAAAAGGGGGCCCGGCAGCGGTGGTGTTCGTTACTTTAAGAAGTTTGACACAAGATGGGGGAAGTTCTTTCTTTTTTTAGAGAAATTCAAGTAAAGGAGGAGACATTTTTGTAGTCAAGTAGAGGAAAAGGATAAATTTTTGCTTGAAGACTTTTTTTAGAGAACTTCAAGTAGAGGAAGAGGAGAAATGTTTGCTTGAAGACCTTTTGTTATTTAATTTTTTATAGAATTGTCGCGGGGCCCGATCTGGAGAATTGTCCTGGGGCCCTGTCTGGCTCTCGGCGGCTCTGAGTTTAACAGACCTTAACCCCCATTTTCAATCAAATTTTTTTCAGAATACATATGCTTCATCCCCTTATAGAGCTTGATATTTACTAAAAATTTCATGTTGATATCGCTTTCCGTTTTTAATTTAGGATTATTTTTTTAATTTCAACCCATCTTGACTCCCTATTTTTAATCAGATTTTTTTCAAAATCAATAGGATTTGCCACATTATAGAGCTTGATTTTTGCTTAAAATGTTCAAGTTGATATAATTCTGTACATATGTTATCGAACAAATGTTTGAGGAGAAAAGGGATAACATGTGGAAGTTGCTCCAGATCATCATGCACCGTCAAAAAAAAAACGTTCATTTAAAGCCAGAAACAGCTCTCTAGTAGTGCTCGCGAGTAACCCAAGTAATTTACTAAAAAACGCTCAGATCCGTCAATTTTTTATTTTAGGGGAAACATTTTTTTTCCAGTTTCACCCCCTGAACGGAAACCATCTAACGGGGGTGAGACTCACCCTCAAAATCTTAAAGAAAAGAGGGGTCAAATGATATCTTATTTTGAAGGTATTTTTACCTAGATTATAACCCCCGAGTTTTACATTGCTACAAGCGTACAAAACCGGTTTTACATAATTTTTACATTGAGTTTTTTAATTCAAAGCTGGAATGAAGGGTTGAATGAAAAAAGAAATTTTTTGTAACAATTGTAGTTTTATTCCTGTGGTCTTCAATTTTTGTTGGTCGCCATAAAGTAGTCAGGTTTGGTTTATTTCGTTAGAGAGTCGGCATAAAAATGGCATATCAGTGATAATGGTTTACTCAATTGCTAAGAGGGTACAAATAATATTACTTTTTTGCGAACAATGAATGTGCCAATAGAACTGCCCAACTATTTAACAATCAACATCAAAATCGACAAGTCCATCGAAAGTATATTTTGGAGTTAGTCCAAAAATTTTGGGAAACGGGAGCAGTAGCTAACAAAAACGTGAAATGGAAAATGTTGTAGTAAATGAAGCTTCAGAGGTGGCGATTTAGGGCATGTTGTTTAAGAACCCACATTGGGTACAAGA